CTGGAGTATCGACAGGTCCTCCTTAGAACAGCAGGGGCTAGCCATGCCCTCATGCAAATTCTGCAACACCTCGTTCCCTGCTAGGAAAATCCCGGAGACAATCGAACACATTTTTCTCCAGTGTCCCTAAGCCATTTGGCTGTGGAGTTGGTGAGACCGGATATGGAGCCAGTTGGGTAAATGCCACCCGTGGCCACGGGACTGTAGGACTCTGCTCTGTGAAACCTAGCACCCAGACCAGCCTGACACCTTCACACAGACCTGTTTAAGACTGGTTAGCTGGCTGTCTACTGGGCCCTGTAGTGCAGGCGCTGCACTCGTGAAACGAAGGGAGTGCGGCTAGCTGGACCTGAATTCATCGACACCACCAAAACAACAAATACAAAAGACAGTGGGAAGGAGCGAAAGCATAGATCAAACACCTCTACTCTCGATTCACCAAAACATTCAACAGTTCAGTGGCTGCTGGCTTGCGGCAACAAACAGAGGGAGGCTTGGGACAGTGAGATGGAGAGGGGAACACGGGGGAACCAAGGGGACATAATCAGAGACTATCACCTTGTCTCCATGACTGGAGTACATTGGATTCATCTATACCACTCTGTCCTCTCTCAGACCTTCCAGACCCATTCCCCCCCTCTCCCATGAGTATGGTGGACCAGAGTTGGTTCGGTTTAGGGTAGGAGGGTTTAGGGTTCAGGTTTTTTGGACACCCACCCCACAAGGGCGACAAGACCAGTCATGTTCACATCAAGGGTCTAGGGTTTAGGGCTTTGGGAGACACTCCACTCTGTATAGCCTGCATCCTCAGAATGCATTATGGTTGCTACAGATCTGACGCCCAGCAGCAGGGCGAAAGGGCACCGGTGGTGTTCTCAGGACTGGGGAGGGTCTCTGACCCCACTACTCTCTCACCTCCCAAGCTCTCCAGATCCTCTTGATTCTCCAATTTCAAGCAAATGTACTTCTAGAGCCGTAGAAGGGTAAAGGCCCAGTTGGTCAGACTTTTCCACATCATTGTTCAAATGGGACACTGGGCCCGGTTTCCAGCAGTTGCAGCTCCCCACCGATAGACAAAGCGGCCAGCGCCAGACTTACTAAACCCATTTAAAAAAAAAAAATTTTAAGTCGTTTCTATAAAAAGTTCCATAGTCACAGAAACACCAATCATGGCCAGTAGCACATCAAGACAAACATTGCTCCGGGGATTAGGATGGAAGCAAGTCAAAAAAAAAAAAAAAAAAAAAAAGAATGGAGGCACGTTGAACAACAGGAAACTTAGATGGATGCCATACATGGGAAGTAAACATGTGGCAATCCGACAGACCGACAAAAAAAGGGTGGTCAATAGATAGGGAAAGTTTCTGGTCAGAGAGCATGACCAAACACATCCTAGTAATCACAGCGACAACAAGCACATTGCCATCGGCACAACAGCATGCATTCATTTTACGCATTCCTACGAAGCAGGCCAAGCCATGGAAAACTTCAGTGAAGGCCATCCATGAATAACAGCTGCCAATCCGCCAGCCTTGGTGGTATGCACTGCGCGTGTGTTTGTGTGTCTGTGTGTGTATTGTCATGTTCGCTATGCACAACTCCATGAAGAAAAGCATGACTGTGCCAGACTATTTTGTTAGACTTCCGCTGACACATCAGGAGGGCGAACCTCGTCAATTCGCCAAGGATGCATTAGACTGATGGATAAAGACTCACTGCATTGCCCAGAGTTAGTGATATACCCTTGAGAGAGAAAAGCGGTTGACTTTACTGACACCAACCCTGCAATACTAGCAGACGGTCAGTCGAAACCCCTGATGAGAATGACAGTAACTCTGAGAAACTAGTCTGTCACAAAATTAAAATGTGTACATGTGTGTTGGTAAAGCACCCCAAATTCTCTCTCTGTTACATGCCCAGTTGGGCGATGTACATAATAAACCGAGATCCGCAATGTGATTAAAAGGACTGAATGGACAATGCAGTGCAAGTAGAATCTCAACAAGCAGTGTGCATTCTGATACATACAAAAATGGTGCTTTATAGCGCAGTGGAAGACTTAGATACAAGTCCTGACCTGACCGGGACTGACCTCCATCACGTAGTGTAAGACAGCGCAGCAGAATGCTAGAATACCAATGACTAGCCCAATCAATGTTGCAATGCAGACCAAACATACACCATCCTCATCACAAGGTGTGAAGGGGCCTGGCGCTACACACGGGAAGAATGCGCCAGGTCCAGATCATGCACAGAGGAAGAGGAGGGGAACAGACGAAGAAGAGGCGGAGAGATGGGAATGTCGTCAACACCAAGTCTTTGTTACAAGTCCCAAATAATCCCTCATCAAAATGTCTGAAGCCCAATGTTGAGTCTGGATCCGAATGTCATCAAGCCCGCTCTCTCATAGTCTGCTGATGCAGTGAAGTCAGGTAGCGAGAGGGTGAGAGGGAGATGGTGGACTGAGAAGAGGAAGAAGAAGAACTCTCTCCCTCCCATGTGCCAGGTACTAACCTGTGAAGATGGCGCTGTGCTGCAGGTACCTCGAAGGCGAAGCTGGAGCTATTGCACTGCAGGTAAGTATCCCTGGCCTCCGCCCAATCTCTCTCTCTCTAGTACTACTCTAGCTCCTATGGCGCCCAGCGCTGAAGACTACTGCTAATGCTACTAGCGCCCAGCGCTGAATACTGCTAGCGCTACAACTACTCCTGCAGCGCTCCTCCAGAGTGCTGCTGCTGAATCCTGAAGACTACCTCCTGCCTCCTGAACTGCACGTGAAGTGCCTGGGAAGTACCTAGGAACTACCTAGCAACTACCTGCAGCCTGCAGGGCGGGCCAGTCTTATATAGTGCTGGCCCGTCCAGGAGGYTGCTCTTGCCAATGCCAAAACGTGCCAGACCCTGGGGTTGAAGCTCAAACAAAGGTTGTCTTGAAAATAGGCCAAAAATGGCCTGAGCTAAAACCCTGGTCTGGTGCCTGAGTTTCAGGGCAGGTCGATCTTATGAGGGCCTGAAAATGGCCCTCAGTTTCAGGCTGAAAAGACTCAGGGCCGGAAAGGCCCTGATTTAGGCTGAAACACCACAGGGCCTGTAGGCCCTTGTTTTGAGGCTTTCAGGCTGAAAACAACACGGGGCCTGTAGACCCTTGTTTTCAGGCTTTCAGGCTGAAAACAACATGGGCCTGAAAATGGCCCGTGCAGCCTGTAACACCCCCCCCCTCCTTATGAAGTCAAGCCGGGTCGAGGGCGAAGCTGACGATCTGAAGGTGGAACCTGGACGCGGCTGCGATGTGGAGCTGAAGATACCGGCTTGCCTTGCATCTTGCGTTCCGGGTGCAGTACGCAAAGCGCACCAAGTAGGCGAGCCAAACTTGGCTTGATAGATGAGACCCATCATTTGATGAGTGCCAACAAAAAATCGAACATGAACCGAGTGCCGCGGTTGCAGACAATTTCCTTGGGGTAGCCCTTGGTTCGAATCCAACCGGAGTAAAGAACCTCGGCCAATTCCGGTGCCTTGGCATGATAGCGGCAAGGCAAAAACATGGCGAACTTGGTGAGTCGGTCGACAACCGTAAGAATCCCACCCACACCGGCCTTGTGCTTGGGGAACGGCCCGGTAATGTTCATGGTAATCGCTTCCCTCTGGCGCAAGGAGACCGGTAATGGTCGCAACTTGCCGTACGACGATTGCGGGATTTGCAGCGTCAGCAAACCTCGCATGACTCGCAATAGCGTGTGACGTCGCCGAGAAGGCTGGGCCACCAAAAGCGCTCGCAAAGTCGATGCACAATCGTAGATCCTTGTTCTTCTTCCGTACGAAGAGAACTGGCGCTCCCTATGGGAGCTACTAGGGCGGATCCAGCCCTTGTCCATCAAGCCATCGAGTTGCGCGCGGAGGCCCGTAAGCTCCTCCTCGCTCATGAGATAAATGCAACCTGTCGGCGGCACGACACCGGCCTCAGGAATGATCTCGTGAGAGATCAGCCGATCCGACACCACACCGGTAAGTGACTCGAAGATGTCGGCGAACTCGTCAAGCAACCGCACCACACAGGGGTCCGAAGACAAGTCCGTGGGTGAAGAGTCGGCTACCGCGACGGTCCGTAGGAAGCATAGGCCGATTTCGTCGGGCTGCTCGTAAGCACAAGTAGCCCAAAATGACTTAGTCGTTAAAACTTGCACCGAATCGAAGGGTGCGGAAGAGGAATAGTACACGACACTTCGGAGCCGAAGGCGTAGCGAACGGTAAGAGTTCGCCGGTGGAAGTTGACCGTGTGATCCGCACTTTCAAGCCAAGCCATTCCCAAAATAATGTCGAAGTCCGTGTCCAAAATGTCGAATGTCACCGGTTCGCATGCATGAGGTGCTAAATCCACCGGTACGGCCTCAACGTAGCGGTCGATAAGTTGCTGTGTCCTTCCGTCCGCCAACTTGATCGTCGTCGGGTTTGCCTTCCTTCGAACTTGTGCGCCAAGGCCAGCCTTTTTCATAACGGCCTGGCTCATAAAATTGCGAGACGCCCCGCTATCCAGCAAAGCGCTGCAGGACGCTTGCCCAACTTGGATGCGGACATAGAGGGGCGGTGCGTTGTTGTCGTCGTACCACTGCTTGCGAAACTCGCAGCCCACCTTGGTAACATACGCAAGGATGTCCCCCACCATGACTTCGTCATCCGTCGGCGAAGTTGGTGGTGCATAGAAGGATAAGTACGTGTGAAGGTGAGCGCATAATGCTGCGCATTGCGGTCCCGACAAGCGGCCCATGGTCGGGACAGGAAGCCATACGAAATCCTCGGACGTGAGCGGGTCCAATACCTCTATGTTGAACTCGCGCGCCGAATCCCGTGAAGACGATAAGTTGCCGTTGTCCGACGGAGACGATGCCACATACACGTCTTGTCCTTGCGCATGAGTACAACGTAAGAACGAGCCAGGCAAAATAGTCCTCAAAAGAATAAAGAAGAGGAGGACTATCGACTTTCGCATGTGCCTCGAAACAAAGGGCGGTCACCCGCGAAGTGATCGGTTCCGAAGGCGTAAAGAGTGTCGTCCACTTACTCCCGACAGTGCTCAGTTTCCCAATTTGCCCTTGCCTTTCGACGGGCAGCCCATTGTCTCGTGGAGATTGCTGTTACACCACAGACAATAATGGAATCTCGTGCGTGCCTTGTATGCTTGCTCGGAGATACCGTATTGGGACCATGGGGCTGCAGCTGTTGCGATGGGCCGGCGCTAGATGCGGTGTTTGTCTTCGTCTTGCCACGTCCTCGACATTTGCCGGGGCGGCCACCATCCCAGGCGGCTACGAGTTTGTCCCCTTCATTAGCAGACACCGCCTCGCTAGTTTGGTCGATTGGCGTTGCAGCTACGACCACGGCCACTTTCGGTCGATGCTGATCTCTGCTCGGGCCTGTCGCAGACGAATGGTGGAGGTTCTTAGCCTCCTTGTTTGTGACAATAATCTTCGCGGCCTTGTCGAAGAACTCCACCAGTGTCGTTAGGGTACCCTCGACGTGAGTCAAGGCATTGCCGTGTTTGTCTTCGTCTTGCCACGTCCTCGACATTTGCCGGGGCGGCCACCATCCCAGGCGGCTACGAGTTTGTCCCCTTCATTAGCAGACACGGCCTCGCTAGTTTGGTCGATTGGCGTTGCAACTACGACCACGACCACTTTCGGCCGATGCTGATCTCTGCTCGGGCCTGTCGCAGACGAATGGTGGAGGTTCTTAGCCTCCTTGTTTGTTACAATAATCTTCGCGGTCTTGTTGAAGAACTCCACCAGTGTCGTTGGGGTACCCTCGACGTGAGTCAAGGCATTGCCCAGTGTCGGACACGACCTCGAGATGAAGTAGTGATTGATGGCTTTGAAGCCTATTTGAATGTCTGCGACGGATGTCAAGCGTTGGTACTCGGCAATCCAGTCAACACTCGACAACGTGCCTTGTTCGAAGACCATCAGCTTGTTCGTTGCCTTGATCTCCGGCGACTCTACTTGGAACCGTGTATGCCACACTGCCTTTAGATCATCCCAGCTAATCTTGGTATGCAAGTCGACAGCCACCACTCCGTACTTGGACAGGAGATTGTCCAGCCATGCTTGGCATGCGCCCCCCGAGCGGGAGTATAAGTACGCGTGATGTTTGTGCTCGTTGACGTAGTGTAGCTGCAACTTGAGTTCGAACTCACGGAACTACGAAATCGGGTTCGTCTTGGTTGAATCGCAAAAGATCTCCTGACCATCGAACTTTGGAGTTGTCTCGCGCGTCTCCGATATTGAGTGAGTGGCGGCAGTACAGATCTGCTGCTCCAACTGTTGCATGGCGTTTTGCTGTAACTGCACGCCTTCCTTGACGGATCCGACGTCAATCTCCAATGCCTCGAGGCGATCGGAGGTGTTGGAAGAGCTGGCAACGGGGGCGGCGACGGTTTGTTCCTGCTGCTGGAGGCGGCTGTTGACTTGGTCAAACATGTGATTATGTGTATGAACTGTGTCGTCGAGGTTGTGATTGTCCTCCTGTTGTACAATGCACGTGGCTAGGAGGTCCGTGAGATGGGAGAGGAGTAGAGCGATCTTGTTTCCACTCTTTTCCAACTTCCCATTCTCAGCCTCGGCCCGCCAGTTCGCTGCCATTGTGAGCAAAGCTCGCTCTCCGCTGAACATCTTCGCGCGTCGTTGAAGTCGTTCTTCATCGGCAGCCTTCGCTGCTGCCTCGTCTTGTTGGCGCTGCTGTTCAATTGCCAACAGACGTGCCTTCTCGGTGTCCTCTGCCTTCTTCTTTGCTGCGGCTGCTACTGCATCCGACCGTTGCTTGGCTTCGGTAATTAGAAGCAGTATCCGGGCCTAATAGGCCTCGTCCGTTTCCCCGGACATCTGATGCATGACGGCTGTTTGCAAGCGCAAAAGCATAGACCAGGCCGGTGGCCTTCTGACGTGGTACTCTCTGCTGCTGACGTGGCACTGGTGTCGGTTGACGTGGTCTTCTGACGTGGCCTGCTGACGTGGTCTGCTGACGTGGCCTGCTGACGTGGCAACTCACCAATGTCGCCGCAGGGGGTACTCGGAAACAGATAGAGAAGGTAAGACCAGAGGGGGCAACAACATAGGTGGGGAGGGGTGGGTTGGGGGATAAATCGCCCGGATAAGGAGCCACTAATCAAAAAAGAAAAGTTTGAACATTGCAATTTTTTTTTTGAGAAAATAAAAGTCCCGAGTTTTGCAAGTTCAGTAGGTCTCCCAACCTCCCTTGAAGTGCGAAATTGTCAATGGAAAAAACAAATTTCGAACTTTCAGACTGCAAATGATTGTCTGATGAGAATGCCAAAAAATATAAAATACAACAAATATTCGAAATTGCTCAGATGAGAGTATGCGCTGTTGGAGAATAATAATTGCAAGAGGGATTTTCCGTACCGTCTTTTAAAAAAAAAAACGAATTTCAGAAAAAAAAAATATTTCGAATTTATAAATAACAGGAAATTGCAAAAGGAAATTGAATTTTTTGAAAAAAGATATTTCGGATTTTCTAGCAACGAAATCTCGAATTTTCCGAAGAAAAACGAAAACGAAAATTTCAGATGTTGCGCTATTGCGATTTTCCACAACAGAAGTAGCGAGAAAACAAAATCCAAGAAAATAAAAAAAATTCGATTTTTGGCAGTGAGGTCAAAATCCTGATTTTGGGGGCTAACTAGTATGCTCTATCAATCTCAAGACTAATCAGGCCCAAAATCAAGATTTTGACCTCGTTGCCAAAAATCGATTTTTTTTTTTTTCTTGGATTTCGTTTTCTCGCTACTTCTGTTGTGGAAAATCGCAATAGCGCAACATCTGAAATTTCCGTTTTCGTTTTTCTTCGAAAATTTCGAGATTTCGTTGTTAGAAAATCCGGATTATCTTTTGTCAAAAAATTCAATTTCCTTTTGCAATTTCCCGTTATTTAAAAATCCGAAATATTTTTTTAATGAAATTCGTTTTTTTTTAAAGACGATACGGGAAATCCCTCTTGCAGTTATCATTCTCCAACTGCGCGTACTCTCATCTGAGTAAATTCCGAATATTTGCTGTATTTTATTTTTTTCGAAATTCTCATCGTACAATCATTCGCAGTCTGAAAGTTTGAAATTTGTTTCTTACATTGATTATTTCGCACTTCAAGGGAGGTTGGGAGACCTACTGAACTTGCAAAACTCGGGATTTTTATTTTCTCGAATTTTTTTTTACAATGTTCAAACTTTTTTTTTTTGATTGGTGGCTCTTTATCCGGGCGATTTATCCCCACCCACCCCTCCCCACCTATGTTGTTGCCCCCTCTGGTCTTACCTTCTCTATCTGTCTCCGGGTACCCCCTGCGGCGAAATTGGTGAGTTACCACGTCAGCAGGCCCCGTCAACAGGCCACGTCAGCAGGACACGTTAGAAGACCACGTCAGCCGACAGCAGTGCCATGTCAGCAGCAAAGAGTACCACGTCAGCAAGCCACCGGCCTGGTCTATGCTTTTGCGCTCGCAATCAGCCGTCATGGATCAAATATTCGGGGAAACGGACGAGGCCTATCAGGGCCGGATGCTGCTTCTAATTACCGAAGCCAAGCAACGGTCGGATGCAGTAGCAGCCGCAGCAAAGAAGAAGGCAGAGGACGCCGTGAAGGCACGTCTGTTGGCAATTGAACAGCAACGCCAACAAGACGAGGCAGCAGCGAAGGCAACCGATGAAGAACGACTTCAACGACGCGCGAAGATGTTCAGCGGAGAGCGAGTTTTGCTCACAATGGCAGCGAACTGGCGGGCCGAGGCTGAGAATGGGAAGTTGGAAAAGAGTGGAAACAAGATCGCTCTACTCCTCTCCCATCTCACGGACCTCCTAGCCACGTGCATTGTACAACAGGAGGACAATCACAACCTCGACGACACAGTTCATACACATAATCACGTGTTTGACCAAGTCAACAGCCGCCTCCAGCAGCAGGAACAAACCGTCGCCGCCCCCTTTGCCAGCTCTTCCAACACCTCCGATCGCCTCGAGGCATTGGAGATTGACGTCGGATCCGTCAAGGAAGGCGTGCAGTTACAGCAAAACGCCATGCAACAGTTGGAGCAGCAGATCTGTACTGCCGCCACTCACTCAATATCGGAGACGCGCGAGACAACTCCAAAGTTCGATGGTCAGGAGATCTTTTGCGATTCAACCAAGACGAACCCGATTTCGTAGTTCCGTGAGTTCGAACTCAAGTTGCAGCTACACTACGTCAACGAGCACAAACATCACGCGTACTTATACTCCCGCTCGGGGGGCGCATGCCAAGCATGGCTGGACAATCTCCTGTCCAAGTACGGAGTGGTGGCTGTCGACTTGCATACCAAGATTAGCTGGGATGATCTAAAGGCAGTGTGGCATACACGGTTCCAAGTAGAGTCGCCGGAGATCAAGGCAACGAACAAGCTGATGGTCTTCGAACAAGGCACGTTGTCGAGTGTTGACTGGATTGCCGAGTACCAACGCTTGACATCCGTCGCAGACATTCAAATAGGCTTCAAAGCCATCAATCACTACTTCATCTCGAGGTCGTGTCCGACACTGGGCAATGCCTTGACTCACGTCGAGGGTACCCCAACGACACTGGTGGAGTTCTTCAACAAGACCGCGAAGATTATTGTGACAAACAAGGAGGCTAAGAACCTCCACCATTCGTCTGCGACAGGCCCGAGCAGAGATCAGCATCGGCCGAAAGTGGTCGTGGTCGTAGTTGCAACGCCAATCGACCAAACTAGCGAGGCCGTGTCTGCTAATGAAGGGGACAAACTCGTAGCCGCCTGGGATGGTGGCCGCCCCGACAAATGTCGAGGACGTGGCAAGACGAAGACAAACACCGCATCTAGCGCCGGCCCATCGCAACAGCTCCAGCCCCATGGTCCCAATACGGTATCTCCGAGCAAGCATACAAGGCACGCACGAGATTCCATTATTGTCTGTGGTGTAACAGCAATCTCCACGAGACAATGGGCTGCCCGTCGAAAGGCAAGGGCAAATTGGAAAATTGAGCACTGTCGGGAGTAAGTCGACGACACTCTTTACGCCTTCGGAACCGATCACTTCGCGGGTGACCGCCCTTTGTTTCGAGGCACATACGAAAGTCGATAGTCCTCCTCTTCTTTATTCTTTTGAGGACTATTTTGCCCGGCTCGTTCTTACGTTGGGTACTCATGCGCAAGGACAAGACGTGTGTGCATCATCTTCTCCGTTCGACAACGACAACTTATCGTCTTCACGGGATACGAAGCGCGAGTTCAACATAGAGGTATTGGACCCGCTCACGTCCGAGGATTTCGCATGGCTTCCTCTCCCGACCGTGGGCCGCTTGCCGGGACCGCAATGCGCAACATTATGCGCTCATCTTCACACGTACTTATCCTTCTATGCACCACCAACTTCGCCGACGGATGACGAAGTCGCGGTGGGGGACATCCTTGCGTATGTTACCAAGGTGGGCTGCGAGTTTCGCAAGCAGTGGTACGACGACAACAACACACCGCTCCTTTATGTCCGCATCCAAGTTGGGCAAGCGTCCTGCAGCGCTTCGCTGGATAGCGGCGCGTCTCGCAATTTTATGAGTCAGGCGTTTATGCAAAAGGTTGGCCTTGGCGCACACGATCAAGTTCCACTGGCGGACTCTCACCGTTGGTGGGGCCTTCGGCGCCGAAGTATCGTGTACTATTCCTCTTCCGCACCCTTGGATTCGGTGCCAAGTGGTAACGGCCAAGTCGTTCCGAGCTAGTTGCGCATACGAGCAGCCCGACAAGATATGCCTATGCTTTCTACGGACCGTCACGGTAGTCGATTCTCCACCCATGGACTTGTCATCGGACCCCCGTGTGGTGCAGTTGCTTGACGAGTTCGCCAACATCTTTGAGTCACCTACCGGTGTGGTGTCGGATCGGCTGATCTCTCACGAGATCATTCTTGGGGCCGGTGTCATGCCGCCGAAAGGTTGCATTTATCGCATTAGCGAGGAGGAGCTTATGGTCCTCCGCGTGAACTCAATTGTTGGACAAGCGCTGGATCCGCCCTAGTAGCTCTCCATACGGAGCGCCAGTTCTCTTCGTATGGAAGAAGAACAAGGATCTACGATTGTGCATCGACTACCGCAAGCTCAACGTGCAAACCGTCAAGAATGCGAGGCCTCTTCCTCGCATCGACGATCTTCTTGAACGATTGGGCGGCGCGAAGTATTTTTCTAAGTTGGATTTGAAGTCGGGATATCATCAAATCTCGATCCGACCGAACGATCGTTACAAATCCGCGTTCAAAACGTGGTATGGGCATTTTGAGTGGGTGGTCATGCGTTTTGGCCCCACCAACGCCCCGGCGTCCTTTCAAGCGACAATGACCAACGAGTTTTGTGCGATGTTGGACCGATTTGCGCTGGTCTACTTAGACGACATTCTTGTCTATAGTCGGTCATTAGAGGATCATCTTGAGCACGTTCGACGAGGGTTGGAGACGCTCCGCCGCGCCAAGTACAAGGCCAACCGCGACAAGTGCGAACTTGTCCGACAAGAGCTGGAATACTTGGGCCATTTTGTCACACCGGAGGGCATCAGTCCGCTATCGGACAAGATTCAAGCCATCCAAGATTGGTCGGGGCCGTGGAACGTCACAGATGTCCGTTCGTTCCTTGGCCTTGCCGGCACCAACGTTTTATCAAGTGATACTCGAATATTGCGGCCCACTTGTCCAAACTTCAATGCGAGGATCGACCGTTTAACTTCAGGGAGGATGCGCGGGAATCATTTTTGGCGCTCAAAGTCGTGCTATTATTTGCGGAGGTCTTGTGCATATACAACCCGCTATTGACAACCCGCGTCACTACGGATGAGTCCGGCTATGGCATTGGTGCCGTCCTTCAGCAACACGATGGCGTGGACTGGGACACGGTCGAGTACTTCAGCAAGAAAGTGCCCGTCGTGCACTCCATTGACGATGCACGCAAGAAAGAGCTCCTAGCTTTCGTCCACGCGCTCAAGCGGTAGCGGCACTTCCTCCTTGGTCGAAGTCAATTCCCAAGACACCGTCAATAGCACCATCGCCCGTTGGATGGCTTTCATTGACCAATTCGACTTCTTTCTCGATCACATTCCCGGGAAGTCGAACTGTTTTGCGGATGCTCTTTCACGGCGTCTGGATCATTGTACCGCAGTCTGCTCGACCAGGCCCCTTCACACTTGTGATGAGAATGATGTATGTTGGGTCTGCGTTGCAGCGTTGATTGGGCTAGTCATTGGTATCCTAGCATTCTGCTGCGCTTTCTTGCACTACGTGATAGAGGTCAGTCCCGGTCAGGTCAGGACTTGTATCTAAGTCTTCCGCTGCGCCACAAGGCGCCATTTTGTATGTATCAGAATGCACATTGCTTGTTGAGATTCCACTTGCACTGCATTGTCCATTCAGTCCTTTTTATCACATTGCGGATCCTCGGTTTTAGATGTACATCGCCCAACTGGGCATGTAACACAGACACTGGGGTTGAAGCTCAAACAAAGGTTGTCTTGAAAATAGGCCAAAAATAGCCTGAGCTAAAACCCTGGTCTGGTGCCCGAGTTTCAGGGCAGGTCGAACTTATGAGGGCCTGAAAATGGCCCTCAGTTTCAGGTTGAAAAGACTCAGGGCCGGAAAGGCCCTGATTTAGGCTGAAACAGGGCCTGTAGGCCCTTGTTTTCAGGTTTTCAGGCTGGAAAACAACAAGGGGCCTGTAGGCCCTTGTTTTTAGGCTTTCAGGCTGAAAACAACACGGGGCCTGTAGGCCCTGGTTTTCAGGCTTTCAGGCTGAAAACAACACGGGCCTGAAAATGGCCCATGCAGCCTGTTGCAGGTGCATCATGTAGCACTCTCTCTCACTTCCTCCACAAATCAACCATCCATAACGAAAAAGTATAGATAGACAAATAAAAAATGCAAGGTCAGCCCCGTTTGTGTGGTTCAGCGCCAAGTGCTGACACACCCGTCGGCTGCCGAAGCGGCACACTTGCACATATAAATATATACATATATATTAATTTGATCCATAAAAGGGTGGAGTGCAAGAAGCAACCTACCTAAGACAGAGGACTCCACCAGCAAGAAAGCAGAGAGAGAGAGAGAGAGAGAGAGAGAGAGAGAGAGAGAGAGAGAGAGAGAGAGATTTCAGGAGGAGGTACAAAAAATCAAGGAGCAATAGACAACTCGCAGCCCTTTGATGCTCTGCCTCTCTTTAGAGCAATTGTGGGTCAAATTCCATTGACTCTGTCCACCGCTGACGAAAAGCAGTCGACAGCTTCTCTGAACGAAAAGAAAAGGGAAAACAAAACAGTATGAAAGGAATCTCCACCTTCGCTGAGTGCAGGCTGTCAACTGCTGGCAAATTCTCTGAGAATTTGCACAGAAACAGTTCTCCACACACTCGCTCCAAGTGCAGTGTCTTGCTGTACCGATGAAATTGACAGTCTTCATGCATTCACGATTCATCGCCTGCGCTTACAGCTCCTCCGCCTTTCTTCTTCCTATGAGGTGAACCATATGTTCCCGACGCCTCTCCTTCAATAGCATTCACGATTCATGGCCTGCGCTTACTGCTCCTCTGCCTTTCTTCTTCCCTCTATAGAGATGGATGATACGTTCCCGACGCCTCTCCTTCAATAGCAAAAATAATTCTCCACACATTTGCTCATGGTGCGATGTCTCGCTGTACCAATGCATTGACACTCTTCATTGCATTCACCAATTCATCGCTTGCGCTTAAGGCTCCTCTGCCTTTCTTCTTCCTATAGAGGTGGACCATATGTTCCCGAAGCCTTTCCTTTGAGAGCGCTTCCCAGCCCATCGTTGCCGGAAAATGTTTAACGCTTTCCTTCACTTTCGTTGGGTCCAGGGTGTCTTCAATTTCACCTTCTTCACCCTCTTCACTTTCATGTTCGTGCACTTGACCCACTTTCAGAGCCTGATACACAAGTGACAAACAGTGGCCAGCAAATGGTGTGAAAAGGTTAAAAAAAAAACATATCTTCGCCGCACACCTTACCTATAGCACAGTTCAAACTCTTGACATTGCTTGCGAGCTCACAATGAACACAGCATAGACAACCATAAAACGCGTGTGAGGAATGGGCTTTAGTCCACTAGAGGAATTTGCTATCACTCCACATTGATTCCTCTTTCATATAGGAAACTTGTATCAGGTTTCTGCGAATTTCATCTTCTTTTTTTTTGTGTGTGTGTGTGTCGTCGTGTGTTTGTGTGTGTGTGTGTGTGTGTGTGTGTGTGTGTGTGCGTCGTGTGTGTGTGTGTGTGTGTGTGTGTGGACATTCAGGGTGGATCCTCGTGCATGCGTGTGTGAGGTCGAGGCATATGATGTTGACAGTGTACAGTGAGAACTTCAGACAGTGTTGGCGGCCATAGCCGCAGATCGTAACGGTTGACTTGAACTGAGTTTCTGGCCAGAGGCCATATCGCTGAGTACGCACATTGCAAGCGAGTTGGAGTCAAGTCTGATTGCACAACTAACTCAAAGCTCAAAGGCACTCCACAGAGTCCACACTACATATGTTCCATCTTTTCTATAGGAAGATGGCTAAAATCAATGAATCAAAATTCACTGAAGCAAAATGAATTATACATCTCTCTCTCAAATTCACCACCGATAGCAATCATTGTTTTGTATTGCCTTGGGCACTCGAGCCGTTAGGAAACAACATTGTGTTCAGAGAAAAAATAAAAATAAAAAAACATAAAAAAAAAATGAAAACGATTTATTATTCAAACGGACATATGTGGCGATCGTGTTATCAATCGAGAATTTCAGACAGATTTGTAAATCATTTTATTAATTTTCATTCATGAATGAAAATGATTTATTATTCCAACGCACCTATGTGGAGATCATGTTAGCCTGAAGATATGGAAACCAAGACACAGTTCAGATGTAAGCTCCCTTCAACAGGCTATGGTGCATCAGCATCCACACATCGCAACTCTTGTCACTGTGTCCAACAACACTGTTCGCTTCACACTTCAACTCCGGAACCCCCTGGATACCCCACACACACACTCCGCACACACACGAATACACACCTATCACTAACCTACGGCAGCTATGGCCGCCAGCTAACACTAATCTACAAGCAGCTATGGCTGCACTAACTCCCTTCAGGCCACTTCGACTTCAGGCTCCTCTGCAGACCACCTCGCACAAGTCACCGTGGCAGCGCTTCCGCATGGCTTCCGCAGGAATGAATGAATGGCTGTGCGCTGCCTCTTCATTTATACTTCTGTAACTCGTTGGTCTGCCTCTTTCCACCGGGCCCATGGTGAACACAGTCCCCCTTGGTACTTGCTGACTGTGCAAAGTGAGACTGGGACTGGGTACTGCTGACTAAGCGAAGTTGGGCACACCACTTGCCCACTTGCTTCTGGCCCTCTGTGTAAAACGTGAGGGGAAACTCGAAAGGCCACTTCCGGACCTTCCGGAAGACCGTGGACTTGGCCTTTCAGTACTGTAGCAGCTACGACCTTGACCCTTCAGGACTGTAGCAGCTACGACCTTGACCCTTCAGAGGAACTACAACTACGACTTCTAGAACTCACTAAGACTCCTATCTGACAGGTCTACAGATCGAATCCCCTACAACCTACGGACCTAAAACAGCCTACCAACTGTTTGCGAATACACAGGGTACGGGTTCAAATACTCAGGGGTCAGCTCGATACTGTACATGGGTGAGGTAAGGTCTGGGGATCAAACCCCGGGATCTGCATCTGCCTCTGCAAAGGTGAAAACCGTTTCAGTAACTGTCGTGCGTGTGAAAAGGGAGGGGATGTGCTCATTCAGTTGCACTTGGGGATGCATGTCCCTGAAACAGTTGTTCTAAGCCTTGGGCACTGGGCCCCTTAAACCATCAATAACCCCCCCCGCCCATCCAAATTCCTCCTCTTCCTGAATTCCAGGAAGACTTCAGCCGGCGGGGTAGAGGATTGGTAGAGCCTCAGCACTGGTGCGGGGGTAAGGCAGAAAACGACAAACCAAAGAGAACACAAAAGAGAAGTTTTAGAGACATAAGTGGTTGCCTGGCGAGGCTACAGGGCAGCAGCACACAAACACCTGGTGGTCCTGCTCCGCCCTCCCTACGCACCATCATGCTTGCGTATTTGCCTCCTCCAAGGTCACTGGGTCTCCCAGGCCCCTGCTGCTGCATTCTCCTACTTCCTGCTTTGCCGTAGGCGGGAATTAGTTCGGATCTGGGCATCAGGTTTTTTTTTTTTGTGATGAAGGTTACCGACATTGCGGTTCGATACATTCCCTTTGCACTTTGGCCGTATGGCCCGTGGGTCCGTACCTGGGTTGCCTACTGGGTACCTTGAGACCTTACGGGACCTACTACCGGTTTTTTGACGTACCCTGCGATGTATCTTGCCCACATCTGGGGTTGATTCTCAGCACAAGGGAAGCCTGGGTACTCTTCCTTCTGCCGTCTGCGGCGTGGTCTGGAACTTGCAGTATGAGAGTTTTAGTATATACTGGGTATCGTAGTTCGCCATTTCCTCTCATTCATGTTGGGAACGTGCATTGGCGGTTGTGTTCCGCGGCGGCGACGCCGCTGCTCTTGCGTTCTCCTTCGCTGGGGCCTTGCGGGATGGATCGTCAGTCTGCTCGGGTGGTTGGAGCGCCAGCGCGACATTTGGCAGGGATGGGGTCTTCAATACCGTGTCCTTGCTAGTACGATTGCCGGCAATACTCGAGCGGGGGCTACTGCGTCAGTCCGGAGGAGCGGCTACAGCTTCTTTCTTTCTTTCTCTGTGCTGTGTTGTCTATCTGTGTGTGACTTGTGCAGGTACTTCGTATCAGCGGCATCATCAACGAAGATATGACGGCCTCTGCTCACCGGGGGGTCATGGGGTATCAGCTAATCAGACCCGTCTTCCCCAGACGAGAGGGTACGATGGTCGGATTCGTGGGGTTGGTTTTTTATCTGATTAGGGTAAGGGTGATGGGTAGGACAGGTGTTGGGTAGTATAAAAGAGGCAAGGCGTGGGAAAGGCCTCAAGCGATTTGGGCATTGTGTGTTTCGTCCTCCTGATGAGTCTGCGTGCGGGGCAGACGAAACGCGTCGAGGATTTGGCCGCTTGGTTGATACAATGCTGTTACTATCATTTTCCCAATTTTGCGTGCATAACGGAGCTTGATTCTATGGGTGTATCTTGGACGCTCTGTTCTCATGCTTATGCTGTCTCGCCGGGCAGTTTCTTTCTCCTTCCTTCCTTCCTGGCCTCCCATGCCCTGCGCTTCTCGTCCTACCGCACGGCAGTATAATGCGACCTGAGGACGGTGGCAACATGCAGGTAAAAAAAAAAAAAAAAAAAAAAAACCATGCAGGGCAGGTAACAACACTATGTGGGCCAGGGGGTACTATGTGCACGGGGGGGGCAGGTACTATGGTGGGCGGGTCATAGAACGTGGACTGGATGGGAGTATGTTGGCTGGCAGTTCATGGGCGATAGTCCCCCCAAAACAAAAGCCCAAAAAAAAACTCTAAAAACCCCAACTTAAGCCCATGTGACTGAATGGGACGCCCAGTCCTTTGGGACGTCCGTTAGATTGGAATAATACAGAGAAGATGAGCATATGGTCCCTGCGCAAGGATAGCACCGTCAGAAACGTCATTGTCTGCCACCCAGATTGGGAAGTACTGCTATCTCTCGCTCTTTCACTTCGGCTCCCACCACATGTTCAGCAGATATGCCCTGGATGAATCGCGGTGGTGTGACGAACCACTTTCTGAAGCGCGCGACTTTCTGCGCAGCTACGATGAGGGGTCCTAAGCTGGGAAGGTTGGGCCAATTACGGGAGATTGGGATGGATGGGAAATTGCATCGGTACCCTCGCTTCTTCGTCTTTTGGGTCGGTTCTTTTCGGTTGGCTGAGTTCGGAGCTGGGTGAGTCCCGGGACGGGTGATTGATTGGTCGGATGGCTGGCGCGCCGCCAAGCGCGCGATTAATAAATGTTGACGTCAGTTCTTTTGGCTCGGTTTTGGAACCTTTTGGGCGCGGACATCGCGGGGGAATTTTCTTCGTTCTTTTCGAATTTTCTTTTTGCATTCTTTTTTGAATTTTGTCGAGCCCCGATGACTCTCGGAATTTCGGACTTTCCTTCCAGAACTTGTGCTTTTTGCTTTTTCGCATTAAGTAGGAATTTAGGAATTTTGTAATTAGGATTTTATTTTGCCGCGCGGCGCCTTTTGCTTACGCGCTTCTTTATGCGGCTGCAATGGAATTCTGATTAGCCGGCGCCTTTAATCGAATGTGTAACTGTAATTTTGGGTTGGCGCCATTGTAACTGTATCTTCCTTCTTGCGCTTCGTCTCTCCCGCCCTCCTTCTCTTTCTTTTGCTACGTTTTTGTAGCTACGGATTGCATGATCAGACCGATGCGTGGAGAGTGGCTACGTCCCCCACGCCGCGACCCGGTCATGCAGAACGCAGGCACTCCCTCTCTAATCTCCCTCCTAAGTCCTGGTGATTCCGTGTTCTTCGTGCATGCATGCACGCTATAAATTCAGGATGCGCGATTAGTTAGCTCTCTTAACCAGTTGTTGGAAGCTCGAGGTTGCGCGATCAGAGAGGGTCGGCACACGAGCAAAGTAAGAGGTGAGTAGAGCAGGAGTCGGGCGACCCGACGAGCTAGTGCCAAACGCGCGGGGTTGACGCGGACCACGATGGACTGTGGGTGTGGGCGAACCTGTCGGGTGCGGGAGGACTAAGCGGGGTGACGGCTTTGTGGGTTGGTGCGCGACGACGGACTGTCCGCATCGGAGAGAGAGAGAGAAAGAGGGAGCTAAGGTTGATGGATGTGGTTTTGCAGTTTCTTTTATCTTTTCTCCCTCCTGTCTCGTGTACATAAATTTTGATTTCGGCTCCGGGCGATCTGCCCGTTATCT